TAGGAGATATAAAGCGCTAATTATATACACATCTGAGGTAGCTAGACTCTCGCCTTATTTACCCAAAACAGTACCACAGAATATTCTAGTCTCCTCCATCTGGCAGTACAATCTAGAGACACTTTCTATACAGTGCTCCATTGTTCTTCTACTCATCATGGAGCCACCTGGAAAGTTCTTCCTTCACCCTCAGTGATCATTACCCTCGTGCATCGTAATCCTAGCCATCATCAGCACAACACCCAATGGCTGAATTCTCCGCTAATAACTCAGTCAACGCTTCCACAAAAATTACACCCTTTTTTGCTAATAAAGGATTTCACTCACGCATGAGTTTTGGACCCCCAAGATCAGTTGAACGAGTCTCGTCTAAGAATCTCCGCCAGCAGATCACTGCAGGAAACAACTTTGCCTCCAAGATGGCCGAAGTCCTTGATGTATTACGCACCAACTTAAATTACGCTAAAGATAAATAGGAGTATGCTGCAAACAGGAATAGGTCGTCGGCACCAGCATGTCGTGTCGGAGATGAGGTATTTCTCGACTCACGAAACATATACACATCTCGACCGATTAAGAAGTTGGATTGCAAATTTATCGGGCCATTCAAAGTTACGAAACAAATAAACTCTCACGCATATCAATTAAACCTACCTTTTGAATACCAAAACCTCCACGACGTCTTTCATACCAGTTTAATAAGGCCCGCGCCTTCAGACCCTCTACCGGGCCAGATTAACCCACAATCACCCCCTATTGCACTTGATGAGTCAGGCGAAAGGCTATATGCCATTGAAGCTATACTAGACTCAAAACGAAGCAAAAATAAAAAGAAATTCCAGTATTTAATACTATGGAGAGGTTACGACGCTGAAGCCAAAACGTGGGAGCCCCTTAAGAACGTGGTTAATGCTATTTCTGCGATTAAAGAATTCGACCGACGTTTTCCAGATAAGCCCAAACCCAGTAAACGTGAGATTGATACAGCTAAAAGACAAGCGACGGCCTGCGCAAGATTGGTTTTGCCAAAGAGATAGAAAGATGAGGAGTAGAAGGGAACCTTATGTCAGGAAATGGACGAGTTGTATAAATCACATGACCTCGATTAATGAAAAGAGCGACCCACTGTAAATATATGTTTTGTAGATACTTGGATATCCTGTTACAGCCTTGTATTCCTGACCCTCGGGGCCTCTAATACTATTGTTCCTTCCAGGTATTGTGTTGTGATCCTACATATGCACGGACCAATTGTAAATTATGTATATATGTATATCTCTAGATACCTCTTGTTATTTTCTTCCCTTAGTTTAGAATCTTATGAATTATATTCCAGATATGAGTCCTTACCTGATTCGACTTGTTCATCTGCTAACCTGTGCTCCCTTCTGGTTGTCGCATATCCTTCCCTTCCTTTTAGACAATCTCATTCAACAAGGTTAGACTTCGTCAATCTCAGCTAGTTAAGCTTCTCGTGACAACGATTGTAGCTATACTTTGAATAAGAGGCGTCACCGCTGTTCCTGCCTTGGTTTTAGCCCAGGCGTTGATTATTTCTAAGAGTTCCTGGGCATGATCCAGTCTTTCTTTAATTTATTGCTCTGCTTGTTTTTTTTTGCATCAGATTTTAATTGCGTATGCAGCTATCTAGCTATGACACAATTTCAAAGAAAAGTACAGAATAGATGATTCAATGTAAGGGAAGAGCACTCATGCCTCAGATTTCATTTGCAAGTACCACTGCGAAGTTATGGTGGCTTTTTCTTCACCCCAAGTCAACCCTCATCAGTGAATACCCACCAAGAGAAACGTCTCAAAAACCCTGGGTTATCCAGACATACGTCCGTCATCCATTCTCTTTTATCCGCATCAAATGTGGTATAGGCGTCTCCTTCCCAAGTGGAGTAGATACCCAGGCTACTCAAACCATACCAGAGAACACTACCAGGAGGCGGACCACAACATCTTCCATCGTTGGCTTGTGTTTATAGTATCAGCTTGACTCTCGCAAGCGAAGTCTTGGCGCGCACAAAGCTGCATTCGTGAAAATCCTTGCCAAGTCTCAAAATCACACGCCCGTCGACATTGTATCCATCCTCCGTATCATTTTGTAAACTTGTTCTGATCCCCCTCACGTCCATACCAAAGAGCTGTCTCCCATATTTATGCACCACGCTTTGCTTCTTCCGTCGGGTGTAAATATCGGCGTGTTGTCATAGCTAAATAACTGAATACAAAATGAATTAAAAACAAAATATCGGCGTGGGCGTGTATTTGGCGACAAGCTTAGGCCAGAGAAAGTCGGTAAGAGGTGTGGTCATAAGAATGAGGACGTACTTGGTCGTACTTGTAGACTTGGTGAGACTTGGATATGAGTCGAACTCGTCGGGAGCGAAAAATTGACGTGGTAGAGTATTTTGAATCATTGTCTCGTGGGCCAACTTGTTCAGTATTGCGACATTTGACTGAACTTGGCTCTGGGAGATATTTCACTCCAAGCTTCGTAGAGGACACCGCGGACAGGTGTTCAGTCTTGCCCTCCGCTCTACTTGTTGCATTGCCTGGCAATATCCGTCAGAGTTGGGTGAATTGTTGCGCTGAAGTTGACAGCCATTGCACCGGTAGTTATTTGTAATTAAATTGGACTCTAGTTCAAGATGATAGTTGTGAAAAGTGTCAAGGTAGTAGGAGCCGCCAAGATTTTGCCAGAATTTAGCCCCTTTTGGTACAAGGCGACTTTTCCTGCCTCTTTCTGCCCTCTTCAGACTATTCTTCCCCACAATTTTCCACCCAGTTTGCCAATCTAAACTGATATTATTGGCGCGAATGTTTTCTCCCCCTCGTTGTGCGGCTTGATACTACTATAGGCAGAGTGTATGAGCTCTTGAAATGGTTTGTTTTTCGCGCGGCCAACGTACTGGATCCTTTGCTGTTTAAGGTAGGTTGCAATCAGTGAGATGAGGGCTTCGCTTACCTCAAAGATAAAAAGGTTTATTCAATATCGTCACTGTAGGCTGTAGTGAGAGCAGAAGGTTCGTGGCGGACACCACGTAGAGATTTGAGAGTTCCTAACTTGTCGTAAACATTGAGAGGTCGGAGTGCAATAGAAAAAGTATCGTGACCTGCACAGGGGTCGAACCTGTAATCTTTTGATTCGAAGTCAAACGCCTTGCCATTGGGCCAGCAGGCCGGTGGTATTCATAACGTTGACATTATTTATCATTTTAACTTATCTTGTAGCAATAATAATGAATCATGGAGACCGCAATCTGCTGTTACTATTTTATGTCTTTCATTGGAGACTGAGGATTAACGCAGGTCCCTGAAGCCAAAAATTTAACCCTATACTGGTATCTTGTAAGAAGTGTGTGGTGTATCTTTATGCCTCTTGTCACGGGAAGGGGTGATTAAGAGATTATTGGGTCGCGTGCTATCACGCGTCTGACGGTATAGGCCGTGCAGGCTCGCCAAACGTTTTCTACAGGACATGGAGGCCGGGGTTTTTCTGAGTGCCTCTTTGGCGTTAAATTGTTATAAACAGATATATTTATGGGAGCTGCCCTCCACAATCCCAAGGCCTTTTATTCGTCAAATATATCGCGCAATGAAATGGTCACAATTTTTCTGGAATCAAAGGAGTTGACTAAAAGAGTGTCCCGTTTATATCATAGCTAAAATTGTGCGAAGTGTACGCTTTGAGCACAAGTTTAAGTGACACAGAGCCAAAGCCACAGCATAAACGATTGTGGCGCCAACTAGGCATAGAAGACGTCCAATAACCTCCTTGTGCCCATGCCACACAATCGCTCATGTATCCATTAGGTAGCCTGAAACGCAACTACATCACACATACCAACCCCTTTGCTACAGAAAAAAGGCGTCGGGAATCTAGACAAGGTGTAGGGCCTATAAGTCCAAAAGACGCTGTGTCTCTATTTCCAAAATTCTCATTTGTCAATAAATGATGCCCATTACAATGAGTGTTAGTTAAAAATCATCATTGGATGTATAGCCTATCTGATTGAACGTCAAGAAGCAGTCACCACGAGTTTCGAAACCTCGAACCCCTCCTATAAATCTATTACTGAGGCATAGGCAATGTAGTACAGGGTAGCAAGAACAATTTTGGTATAGCGAAGAAACGTTTCACAGTCGAAGAGGAGATCGATGAAGTCTTGGAATTCCTATGCAAACATGTGTATTTCTCTGGGCGTGACTAGTTGAGCTGAAAGCAACGCACGTCATTTCAGCTAGGAGTATACAGTCGTGGGATGTGAAGCTGGTGTTGCGCCATGATTATTCCGCGAAACAAGGAAGGGGTGGGCTTAGCAGGAACTATGCGGGTAGATTAGATAACTGCCAGCCCGAGCTTACTCTAGGGCTGCGTCGGGAGCGGAAAACCCCGTTCCCGCCATTCTCAGTTTACCAGGCACTCCTTTGAAACCGCTGTAGCTCTGGCGGCAAGAAAAGACGACTCCCTGAATCCCGAGTTGCGGTCGTTGAGCGGTCCACCCCGTGACGTTTATCTTAGATATCACAAGGTAAGTAGAAGGAGCGAAAACTTTAGTGGTTGAATCTGTGTCATTCAGTTGTTTTAGCGTTTCCTTGAATACAATGCCAAATTTTACCCACAGAGTGACCGCATTATGGAGGCACAATTCTCGCTAGTTGTAAGCCAAGTCATCATCGCTATTTCTATTGTCTCTAGCGCTCGCCATTCGTCCAGATCTACAACTGTGGTCAAATGACATAGCCAATACGTGTCATGCGAATAACCCATCGAGCGATTCTATTTATAACTGAAATCCCACCCCACGCAGAGCTCGCCTAAGCCCACCCCACCGACCATCCCAGTTACCGGGATGAAACCCACCCGTGCGCAACAGCGCGAGCGCCCCACTACAACTGTCTAGATGTACTCCCATCTCCCCTTCCGCGAATGGACAAAAATACTCATTAGCATCTTCATCATTCCAGGCTACTAACACGGTGCAATTTATATGGCGTACAATCAAAGCTTCAATCCAGACCGGCTTCCTGCGTAAGTTTCGAGTTCCACCGCAACCCCAGCATACTGTAGCTACCCTGAAGACATTAGCTAAACACCAACAGCTTTGCAGAGCCAGAAAATGTAGGAAAAAGTATTGAAGATCTCACGAGACACCACCATTGACTGATTCCAGGCCTCTCAGAGAAATACTATGGTGCAAAATGAAAGAAGTAGGCCTCCTCCGCTACCACCTCAGGATCGTCGTCTCTCGTCAGCCATGCCAGCCCAATCCGGTCATCGATATACAAATTCATACACCGGTCAAGAATCCACTTCATCCAGAAAATACAGCTTGAATCAATCACCTAGTGATGGGTATAGGCCGGCATCAATCTCGAGGCCGCCTCCTTCACCAGCCATTGCCCCCTCTGTAGATCAAAAAGTACTTTGGCCATTATTTCAGGCAGTTGATAGGGATGGTATGGAATTACCCCATCTCTTATAATCAGTTGCTGACGTACTAATTGCAGGAAGCGGTCAGCTTTCAAAAGATGAGCTAGGTGAGGCACTAGTGAATGGAGACTGGTCAGCATTTGATCCCTATACTGTCGAGCTGATGATTCGTCTTTTCGATGCCAATCGCTCCGGTACCATTGGATTCAATGAGTTTTGCGGGCTCTGGACCTTCTTAGCTTCATGGAGAGCGCTTTTTGATCGCTTTGATGTCGATAAGAGCGGAAATATCAATCGCAAGGAGTTTATGGATGCGTTGGTCGCATTTGGATATCGTCTAAGCAGTGGTTTTGTCCAGACTCTCTTCGATGTGCATGATAAAAAGCGCGAGGGAGCTATTAGTTTCGATATCTTCGTTCAGAGCTGTATTAGCCTGAAAAGAATGACTGACATATTCAAGAAATATGATACAGATAGAGACGGATTCATTACCATGTCATTGTAAGGGGAACGACTGAATGAGTTTCTCATAGCTAACAGAATTAGTGAGGATTTTTTGACTGAAATTATTAGACAGAGATAGCCCGGAGAATTTTGCTTCATAGGTAAAAAATTTCATCAACAGCGAGGAAACTGACTTACACCCACAAAGATATATATAAATAGCCCTATTCTACCTTTGGCTAAATCATGATAAATGCCTCATGAGATCTGACGCGACACCTGTATTATATAATACTTCTCGAGTACTTTCTAAGATTTTGAACAAGGTGGAAGAGATATTTACATAACTTTGTGACACTATCGCAACTCTATTTCGCATCGAGTCAACATTGCGTGCTTGTGAGCGCAAGCGTGCAAAAAAGATATCTCCGAGACTTGAAAAATGCATAGACCCATAGGCGTATAAAATTAGAAAGTTGGTCGGAAAGATGACCAATCAGGCGATATAAGTAATTTAAGATAATTATTAATAACCAAATACAACTTGACTCCCAAAAATAATTTATGTTCGCACTAATTTTCAAAGTGAAGGAAGTATGTCTTTCTGAAGCATTAATCTGATAAGTCCGTTGTCTCGCAGGAGATTTTTTTTTAAATTCATAGTGTATTCAGCTGAATAGCTATGACACAATTATAACATGCACTACATATCATGAAAGTTTCTCCATGCTTTCATCTCTGACCCTTTTTAAACTGGTGACCGATATCATGTCATGCCACTAAACGGAATCGAACTGGTAACCTCATCATATCCAATTCTCGTGACGCGCTCTACCATTGAACTTTAAGGGCTTCTCACAGGTGACATGGATCCCAATTTATGGAATCCCGACCGTGAACATTATGCGCTGTTGATTGACTTACGTGGTGCGGGAGGAATATTTAAATAAATTGGCGATCCTGAGCTACAGAAGTCGACTTACGTACTTATAGTCTCAAGCTCTACTCGCATTATATTAGGAGGTTAGAAAGGTGGAGGGTGAATATCCTGAGGCACACACAAAAGTCTTTTTTTTTTTTTTTTGCATCAGATTTTAATTGCGTATGCAGCTATCTAGCTATGACACAATATCAAAGAAAAGTACAGAATAGATGATTCAACGTAAAGGAAGAGCACTCATGCCTCAGATTTCATTTGCAAGTACCACTGCGAAGTTATGGTGGCTTTTTCTACACCCCAAGTCAACCCTCATCCGTGAATACCCACCCAGGGGAACATCTCAAAAACCCTGGGTTATCCAGACATGCCTCCATCATCTTTCAACTTTTCTCCGCGCGAAATATGGTCTGAGATATATCCTTCCCAAGTGGAGTAGGTGCCCAGGCTACTCAAACTATACCGGAGAACACCACCAGGAGGCGGACCACAACACCTTCCATCGTCTGCTTGTTTTTATAGTGTGAGCTGCACTCTCGCAAGCGAAGCCTTGGCGCGCACAAAGCTCAATCCGTAAAACTCCATGCCAAAATTCGAAATTTCACGCCCGTCGAAAACGTATCCCTCTTCTGCATCATCTTGTAAACTTGTCCTGATCCCTCTCACGTCCGTCCCAAAGAGCTATCTCCCAAAACTGTGCTCCACGCTTTGCTTCCTCCGTCGGGTGTAAATATCGGCGTGGGCGTGTATTTGGTGACCGGCTGAGGCCAGAGAAAGTCGAGGAGAGGTGTGGTCATTGAAACGAGGATGTACTATGTCGTACTTGTAGACTGGATGAAGCTTAGTTGAGAATCGGACTCTTTGGGAGTGAAAGATTGACATGGAGTAATTCGAAATTTTGCCTCGTGGGCCAACTTCTTTGATATTGCGAAATTTGACTGAACTTGGCTCTGGGAGAATATTCCACTCTCAGGTTCGTAGAGGACACCGCGTACAGGTGTTCAGTCTTGCCCTCCACACACACAAGTCTGTAGCGCCTAGCTGGCCGGCCTCTTCGAACGCATCAGAAGGATCACTATGTCTTCGGATTTAGTCCTAATGTCGGTATTAGGAGAGCTCCGCACCCAGTGGTTTTTGCGGTTTTTCCCGGCTGCCATACACCCGCAAATGGCCATCGTTTCGTTGGCTGGAGAGAGGAGATAATGAATGGTCAAGAGCTTCTCTTAGTGTATGATTGAATGAGGACTTGTGAAGGGTGGTACTGTTTGAGGGGAGCTGTATAGGAGGCATAGGAGGGGATATCCTACTGGCGTAGGTATCCTTGGCCTGTAGGCAGAGAGGACCTGCATGTCCTACATAGTCATAGTCTCAGACAAGACAAGAAAATTAAACAATAATAGCGAAAAACAACAGAAACCAAAAACATGAAAATCAGGATAATCCAGAACATCAGAAGATTCCTCCATTTTGGACCCAGCAATACCTTCCTCACACATTCCCTCGCCCGTCACATCTTCCACGTGACAACTTTCTCAATCTTCGCTGAGAGGAGAAGATGGATAGCAGGTACCATTGATACAGCCGGCATCCTGCGCTTGGAAAGTAATGCCCAAAACAGGCACTGTCGAGATCGCTGTGCCCTCAAGCTTCTTCGGACTCCGGAACTCCGAAGTCAGATCTCTCTACCATGGAGATATACTTATTTGGGGCGACATTCGCCACCTCTGCTCTCTTCGCTAAAGCTTATGTCGGTTTATCACCGGTTCTAGTTAATGTGCTAGCACAAAGATTGCACAAAATGGTTATTGATCAAAACGTATATATCTATATCCATCTCTATATATAACAGGAATAATGAACGAAAGTAAACCCCAACGCCGCAATGACACCACGTGGCTAATATCCGTACATTTCCCCATAGCTTCTCGACCAACGCCAATATTCACGCAGCTTATGCTCGCGCTGCTTCTGTGTTGTAAAGTGTGTATGGGTTCTAAGAGGAAACTCACTCAAAGAATATAGGCACAGCTTCAAAGTACTTCGTAGTAGTTCAATCAAATAAATTATTCACGTAAATCGTTCTTATTATATTATATTATCGTTTTGGTCAGAATATTAAAGAATTACTACATCTAGGTTTCTACATATTACTCGTGTTCTTTGTCTGACGCTAAAACCAATTTCAGGCTAGTGCAATTGTGCGCCAAGTTATTCCTAAGCAGCCTTGCCGATCATCACCGACAATTGTGTAGCTCTAGAGTAAGCAACTGGTGCGAAATTCCAACATTCTGCAAACCTCCCGTGCTAGACTTGGCAAATCACCTCGAGCTGCTCTCTGTACGCCGGACTGTGGGAAAAATACTCTGTACATTAGTACAGGGAGATATGTGATGAGGTGAAGTAAACTTAATACTTGACAACTATGCAAACATTGAATTTATATATACATCTATGGGAGCAATCTTCATTGGTCTTATGTGCCTTTCGAACCTGATGATGAGCCAAGGTACACCGTAGTACGTAAATACCCACACGTATACGCAACATTAGGTGCGATTAGCGTACTCGGGATATGTGTAGAGAGAGTCGATCTTGTAGGGAACCTCAGAAGAAACGTTTAACGCGTGTCGGAATACTCGTGTGGTATTTATATCACAAGCTTTCTGTAGCAGTAATGACAATTGGTGGTTAACATGTATCTTCATCCCCCCCGACTACTTTTTCTATTGCCATCTCGCGCAGTACCAGGTACAGCTCTACAGGGCTCAGATCTTCAATCCCACCATATCTTGGGCTCTTGCTTCAGCAGAGGGAGTTTATGCCTTTAATAGCTGGTCATGTAATAAAAGCTAGGGAGCTTTAAAGTGATATAACCAATTTCCCTCCTTACCAATTTTATTTCTTTGCTTTGTATTCTCCATTGAATAACATCTGTAGATCATGGGAGACAACGGGAGGCCGATATTCATGTAAATTGAAACTTCGAGCGTAGGATAATAAGATCCTGGTTTTCATTTGCTATGTTGGGTCTAAGGAGGCGCCAACAGGTCGGGTAGTTTTATACACACTGAGCTAATCGGTACGTGAGGAGCTCACCTGCTGTACGCGGGCACGACGTTAAATGTTATAAATAAATAAATATATCTTGATTCTTGTCTTCTAACTAAAGGAAACACGTATATACAGCGTTTATCCCTCTCTCCTAACGCCATTCCTAAATAGACAGCCCATTACTCATCAACTTAATTAGTCATCATTTCTATGGTAATACATGAAAAGTCATGAAGTCATTAGGTCATTCGACAACGAGTGAGTCCTATATTTGAGAATCAGAATTTCCAACACGGACCGAACTTGTTGGGTCTGGCTTGGCAGTCACGAGAATGCGAATGTTGAGCTACGCCGCAGTTTCGACATTTAGTGAGGGCATTACACTCTGCTTCAGAGTGCATTATTGATCAGAAATTCTGGCGGGCCTGAGCGCGGAATTCACCACGATTGGCGTGGAAGCTTAGGAAGCAATAACACTGCTGGATTTTGTGAAGAGGCTGGAGCTTTTTAGTCATTCCAGATACTTCGAAGATGCGGAACCCCGCGCGAGAGGCGGATTCCCGAGGAATTAGTGCAGCCCAGTTTCTGTATGACGCACCTGGATTGTATGCTCGCCAATTTGTCGATGGATTTCATATGAGACCCCTAAGTGTCGACCTTGGTCAGATTGGCAACAAAGGTTATTCTTATGGGTACGTTTGGGATCCATAAGGTGACTGGATCCGAAGCTGCTTCGATTTTAGCGTTGAACTCGCTAGCTTGGAAGAGGCATCTAGTATTCTTTGTCTCATTTCTTCATCCTTTGCCAAAATGGCGGAACCGGTCGTAACTTGGTGTATCGAGCTAGCCATTATTAAATTGCAGTTGGCTTGCACCAACAGTGCAATTAGTATATCTTCGGAGTAACAATTTTCGCAGAGTATAGTCACTGCTGAAACAAGGGAACAGTCGTTTTTCGACTTGCGCCTTCGGAACGACTTTCTTTAGACCTGTTGTTGCAGGTCATAGCACAGCTTTCACTGTGGGGAGTGCTCTTTGTCGCAGACCATTTTGTGCCACATTAGCCCAGATGCTTTCCAAAGGCTGCCATAGTCGGGCAGTTAAAGCTGAGCTTCTTGCGTCAGGAGTTTTAGGGAGAGGGTTCGCTGAGCGAGGAAGGACGGTTGATGTAGTTACCGGGACCGGGGCGATATAATGCGCAATGGCGGCGCGTAAGTCGCCTCTCATCAAGCTCACGAATTGTCTATTTTATACGTTAGTCAAAGAGAGGAGTTTTGCTTCAATGCTAGAGATGGTGGCGCTCCGTTCTTCGGCTTCGATAGGTGGTCGAAGTTGCGGAGGACATTGTGCTGTGGTGGCAGCATTAAGCTGCTATATTTTTGGTGGAATTGCTTTCGGTGCAGCTTTCTCCGACGGTTTTGGCTCAAACGGAGGAGATTGCGTTGATTCTCCAATCCCGTGAGGGATCGAGGCTCGATGAGGAATTTCCTCAACAACTTTGACTGACTCAATCATGTCAGTATCGGGCTCCGAAACAGCGAGGAGGGCTTTTCCCTTCCTTTACTTGAGGCCTGGTCTACCCACGCATTTTGGAAACTTGGCGAGGCGCGGCGTTTTTGCGAGAGACATCAGGCGGACTCTCGAGTTGTTCAACATGTCGTTGAGGAGCTTTTTTCGAACAGGTGGCATGATAAAAATACCAGTGGCTTGATCACAATTTTATGAGAGATGCAACGAGCGCGAAAGCAGGGTGTAAAGGGAAGTTTCGAAAATTCAAAGTTCAAAATATTTCATGAACTTTTGTGTGATTTTATTGAGCAACTTGAGTCATAGACCAACCAACCCATTGGGCTCCTTTCTGGCCCAGGCCACACCTTGTACAGCGCTCCTATTCTCTTTTGTTACTTGAAAAATCATTGATAAATTGCCCTTGATGAGTAGCCTTTCAGCTCAGTGTTTACCCATGGAATTCAGCCACCTTTTCCATGGAGCCCTCTACCCAAAAAAAAGTAAGTGGTAGCAATGCAAAATACATCCGCTGGAAAAAGTCTCAAAAAACTTGAAGCCCCAGCCGGGCGACGCCTAGACACCGGGACCACCTGAGGTGCGCATACTCATCTATATCTCCATTCTTTGTAACAGTCGAGGCCGACTTGATCTAATCCACCAGCTCCGTATCGGGTGCTGGCTATGCTCCGATAACTCATCGTATTGCTTTTCCTCCATGATCAAGGGTTAGTGATGAGAAGAGCTTCGACTCTACCATTAGATCTGATTGTGGTCAGCTTCATGACGATGATGTTAGGGGACTGTGTGGGGAGATGGAAACGATACAGACCGTGAAAGCGATTGGGAATCGTCATCGAAGTGAGGACGAAGTTGTTACTCAATTTCGTCTTTACACACTTTACAGTGAGAGCTGAAGGTGTGCGGGAGGCACCAATGGCAGGTGTTGAGCTTTCGCCCCCTCCCCTCCCCCCAACCTGCCATATGTCAGTATCTGTGATGCACTTAGTAGCTGGACAAAAAGATGTACTTGTGTCAGATGTAATATCAAATGCTACTGAAGCACATTGAACTAAATGCATAGCTTGTACCTTTGAATCATAGGGTCCGACCTTCACTGTCCATGAGAGCAAAGTTGAAAGTTCTTAAAATGAAATGTGCAGAATGTAGCTAGTCTATTGTACATAGAATCTAGGAGTACTCCATAGTCATTGACTCAGTTATGACTTTAATACAAATATAATTTAATCTAATCTATTGTACCTTTAAACTCTGAATAAATGACACAATTTTTGTTTAAAACTATCACACATAAGCCTCGTTTTCACCACGAAGTAGAAGGAATTCCGTAACCTAAGGTGTAATGTCGCTCAGACATAGGATTGTATTGCTAGCTAGTTCTTAGTGAATGTAGTTTCCTAACTTCCCATGGCATATGAACAATCACGCCTACAACGACTTCCGTTTTGCTGTGAAGAATTAGAATCACAGGAGGCCGTTGATGTTCGACCGTGCATTGGCTTCAACCCTGCTTCTATATCTTGGGTGTGGAGGAAAAGCGATGCCTCCAATCTTCTAGATTACTCAAAGAAGTATGACCACGTCTGAGTGCCGGGAATGAACAAAGATTTCCGGGGCACGATCTTACAGTTCTGGCGTGATTGCTTGTATTAATCATCTACCAATTTAACACACATGAATCTAGCACAAGTATCTAGCAATTATCTAACTCTTTTCTAGCTGGGCTTACTCCGTGAGACGTACTACAAGAAAGCCATTGAGTGGAAATGCAAGCCGTGAAGGTGCTGAAACATCCTCTTGGCCTACAGGGCTTTGAAAATGAGATATTTCTGAACAAAGGGTAAACAATGTAGGAACTGTGGCTTGAAATCTTCTACCAGCGTAATCATAGGCAAGATGTGATAGGTAATTTATAACAGCCCCTTTGAGTCTGAGACTATGAGGGACTTGATTATTTGGAATACTGTGTGGTGGTCGTACATCACAACCTTGGTCACGTCCAGCTGTGAATCTATTCAGTATTTAAACTACGGCGTTGTAACTTATGTAAAGTTCTGATTTGATCCTAAATTAAGCGCCCTGGGCTTCTGCCAGCTCTTGCTCTCCTTGTAAGATTTGCGCGAATGGAGCTGGCTAGTTCAGCTTGCCCGCTATTTCGGGCACGTGATACGTAGTCCCACATGTATGTGCAGACTAACTCAGAATTCACCCATCTGTTATGTCACGCTCGATTCAAACGTTGTGAAAGTCTTATTCCCTCCCGCTGTGCAGCTGTGTCCGTACTAATCTTGGCCACTGCGCATCAAGGTGCTCAACTCCTTAATCATCTTTGAATATCGTTGATAATCAAGATGCTAGTGATCCTTCGGTCTAACAGCGTCTCATCATAATAGGGGGTTGTTACCGTAATCTAGATTCTCCGAGAAAGTCTTGTCGCAAATAATTGAAACGTACTAGCGATTTCGGCTGCGAGAATCTGTTTTTAAGTCTGACCGTGATTCATGCGTGAATTTCGTGTGGGTAACAAAGGGATTCTCTTGGATGTTAATACGGTGGTCATTATGGTAATGGCTGGATTTTGGACAAAAATATTGGGCAATGCACCCTTGAGCCGAGAATTTACTGAGTCCAAATGGCATCATCTCCATTGTGAACAGATATCGGTCCTAAATGATTATTTGATCCCAGATCCTCAAGGTTGGCTGCTTTTGGGTAATCAGTTTTTGGGAGATGATTCAAAAATGGAGTCACCGCCAATTAGAGACATCATACCAAGGCAATGAAATTTGCGCAGGGTGGGGGGGAAGTAGGTGGCGCAACTGCTAGGATCATCCCGACGAAAACCATTTCTACAAGCTACCGTGTCCTCTCCATCTGCGTTGCCTCTAAGACACAATGCCATTGCTCGTGCTGTTACGGTCCTTGAGACGACCATGTGCTAAGAGAACTACAAATAAATTTCAAACAATGCTACGGGCTGCAATTCGACGGTATCTGCGGGTGCGGAAAAACTTGCAACTCCCTGCAGCTTAGCGAATAAACTCCCCATGATAATCTGTGGTAGGATTTCCTTGGATCCTCTAGACGCAGGCCACTTCAGGATACTGTCACCCTGGAAGATAATGGTTGTCTGACAAGGACTTCTTAACACGTCTACTTGAGGGTTAGGCCCGGCGGAAGCCAGCTTGCGAGGTTAACATGACAGAATCAGGACTGGATAGAATTTTGAAGTAACTACATTTGTCTCTCTAGAAAACTTCTGTGAAAATCTTTGGGAGGCCATATCGTGTGTCAACGCGTATCTGATTGAACAGTGATAGTAGATCGAGATCCCATCATCAACAGAAAACAGATATCCTAAGTCTGCTTTAGTTCCTCTCCGAACAGAGGACCTATCTTGTTTTGCTTTCGGGGTGGATTAAGCTTCAAGCGGCCTCTGCGGATACTGCATGCAAGGAAAAACCACGACGATAGCGCGCATTAACACTAATCAATTGAATAACGAGACATTAGGGCGGTCCACGAGATTTTGCGCTTCTTAGCGTCAAATACGCGAGAACTACCGATTTATTCAAATTTGTCGCCCACATCTTCTCATCCTTTCCACATCAACTATTCGCGGTTGCAAATCTCCTCCTGATTCAAGTTCATCTAGATACTTGAATTCCTACACCAACCCACCAAATAAATATCCCGGCATCCAGTACGACTGCTCTCGCTGCAATCAACTAAACACCTAATCAAGTTTGTAGTTCTCTGATACTGTACTAAACTATCTTGTCACACATGTCTCCGTCTTATCACCGAATCTTTGCTATCACACATGTCTCAATCCACACAAAATTTTCATCGTCTTACTCATGTAATTTCTTTGCGTCCTCCATACCCGTCTCCAAACGTTCATCTCTATGATGAAAATCAGCATCACATGCTGGATATGGGAGTGGAAATTGAGTCTTGATGTCAGGTAATAACAACAACTCGCACAGAATATGACCAAGTTATTTGTCGGGTAAGAGTCTAACCTTCATCAATCTACTTGTGCTAACGAAGATGACAGAGGCCTTTCATGGTCAACTGAAGAAGATTCCCTAAGAAACAAGTTTGAGGAATTTGGTGCAGTAGAGGAAGCAGTACGTTAATTCAGATTAAATGGCTATATCTGATTCAATGAAAAGGTTGTTGTACGAGACAGAGAAACCGGCCGAAGCCGTGGATTTGGTTTTGTGCGCTACACATCCGATCAGGATGCCGAGACAGCTATCACTGCCATGAACAATATTGAGTAAGTCATGAGGACACAAATTAGAACACTCAAGATAGCTGACTAAGACAGGTTCAACGGACGTACTATTCGCGTAGACAAAGCAACAGAACGCGGATCAGGTGGCCGCCAAAACGGTGGTGGTGGTTACGGCGGCGGTGGCGGCGGTGGAGGTGGTGGTTACCGTAACAGTGGCAACGACGGCTACGGTGGCGGCGGTGGATACAATGGTGGAGGAGGTGACGGCAATTACAACGGAGGTTACAATGGAGGTGGAGGCGGAGGCTACCAAAGTGGATACGGCAACCGCGGCTACCAAGGAGGAAACGGTAGGAATTACTCCACTCATAACTCACACAAGCTAACTTATCTAAAGGATCCGGACATGGCGATGGTGGCTACGGAGGTGCATAAACCTATCCAGACTCCTCATTGCAAACAGCCTCAAAATTATGTTACTCTAGAAGCCTTCTGCGGCACCGTAATACCAGTCTACAATGGTGCCGCGGTTCAAAGTATGAGAAGGACTAAGATGATGCCAGGTTGGTAATTACACTTCAAATGGCAATTAAAGTCGACTACACCGAACGACTAACGAATAAATCAACAAAAGCCAACGAGGTGAAATGATTGTACCCAAGGCTGTGAACGGCGTTGGGGGTAAGCTTGACAGTGTCATAATTATCTAGCGATTGACTCAGTATACATGGAATAAAAACGGACAAGAAATAATCCTAATCTCATCTCTCAACCTTATGAAGATTGTAATGAATGCGGTGTCAAACTAAATTTAAGCCCATATTCCTACAGCTTTTCCTTTACAAAGTAGTCCTAGCCCATGCACTCCCTTGAGCAAAGTAATGCGAGTTTCCTAACCCTATCAGCTAAGTTTGTCACGTGGTAATCAGCTTCCTCTGAATTCATGTACAGCAGAGCTGATTCGAGGGAATATAAGTAATTACGGTTTAAGCCACTTTGACCAGAAGACGAATAGATACGCTCGGCTAAAAACTGCAGATCCTGAGGACCGCAAAATTGAGGGTTGTCTGGGGTTCCTATATAGACAAAAACTCGGATATCGGGCGATCCTTGGGCAGGATGGAAAGTAGTTTCGTGGAGCGTGTAGCCGTTAGTCTCGCGGAGATCAAGGTAAGCACGCACGTGGGCCACATTTGCAGGTTCGATGCGGTAAGCAGTACCTAGAACTCGGTGAGATGCTGACATCTCTGGGTCTTCGAGCGATTCCCAGAATGAGCGTTCTATCAAGGTTACAACGAAGCCGGGCTTTTCGATAGTTCCTCTGTGGTCTTGGCTTTCATCACCGAGGCGTAGAATGATTAGTCAATGAACAGCTTGTTGAGGGGAATAGAGAAGGATCTCTTTCGCTTGGTACCTAGCCTGTTGCATATGATTTGAATGTTAATAATTCATCTATGAAACTCCTTTAACTCGCCAAAGACTGAAGGGGCAGCAAGAATAAGCATGGAATTGGACGAACCTGCCAAAAACGTCGCACGTAACCTGTCACATAGCCATGGATTCGCCTATCAAAGAATGGAGGAGGCTTCCATATCAAAGAGCTACAAAGCTGTCAACTTTTAATCACGATCGCGAGTATAATGTTAACATACCCGTAGCCAAAGATCCAGAACTCTTCGCTTCTACCGTTGACAGTGTCGCCCATCGTATGATTTTCACTGATAACGAGTGTCAAGCTGACGCTATAAAGACGATCAAAAGAGTGCTGTAATAGGAGCTGACCACGGAAGACGATGTATATGGAATTGTTCGATGACTAATAGCGCTGACAGTCCACATTGATCAAATTGAAGGTTTGCACGACTCACAAGCACATTATGTAGGCTATATTCCACTCTAAAACTAGGTCGCCACTCCGCTCGTTCTTCATGCCGGAATACTGCGGCTTAAAATAGGTGGATTCACTCAGATAAAGGATCAGATAGTGTGTAGGGTGGCAATCAAACGCTCGGACAACCGAAGGAAAGGATTGTTGAACTTCATATATGCATATTTATATGCAGGTCATCATTTTATTCACTGTCCTAAGCAGAAGGGAGAAGAAGAGATAGCCCAAGTAACGCTAGAATCAGAAGACCTTTGAGGCAGTACTCGCTCTACTTTAACCATCAAAATAATGAGGCCACTTATCGGACATTAATGAACGGAAGTAAGTTTTTGACAGAGTATTTATTGAAATAAAACCTTATTTTTCGAGTACCATGGAATTTAGAGCAATTAAGATACAGATTTGCACTACTTCAAAGTGTTAGACTCAGTTAAGGATTTATAATTGATCCAGTCTGATCAGATCTATGGATAGCGGGGGACGAAAACTAAACACCTGTCAATAGTGTCCCTCACACACCTCCAGCTCCAACTGTAGAGTCTGCAGAGCCGAGATTGAGTAACACCTTCGTCATCACTTCGATGATGATTCCCAATCACTTTCGAAGTCTGTGTTGTCTTTATATCTCTGAACACGATCCCTTATCACCACTATCACGAAGCTAACCATGATCAGATCAGATAATAGGGCTGAAGCTCTTCTCATAATACATCTTTTATCATGGAGGATAAGCCATCCGATGAGGTTCTCTGAACATACTCAGCGCCCGATACGGCGATTTTAGATTGGATCTGTTGTAATCTAACGCTATTCATCCTCGGACCTTATAGTGAGCAGTAGTTGTATATCACGTGATGCCATGCGGGGGAGAAGGAACAGGATGGCAAAAGCTGCTAGCCAGACCTAAGCGATCTGGTCCACTTGTAGATGAAGAAATCCCTTTTCTTTTCATCAGATTTTAATTGCGTATGCAGCTATCTAGCTATGACACAATATCAAAGAAAAGTACGGAGTAGATGATTCCAAGAGAAATCCCCTTTGTCTGTAGAGAAAAAAGCAACCCTAACTAGTACAATAACAATAGTAAAGAACCCAAACATCCACATCTCAGTTATCCCATGCATCGTGACCCACAAACCTCTATCTCATCTCTTTCACAAAACGACAAAGCTTCGACATGATCAAGTTGGCCTCTAATGTTGCAAAGAATGGAGATATATATGTGTATGCGCACATCCTGTGGTCCCGGTGTCTAGGCCTCGCCTGGCTGGGGCTGCAGGTTTTTTGAGACTTTTTCCCGCGCACGCAGTTTCCATTACTACCACTTTATTTTTTTGGGTAGAAGGTTCCGTGGAAAAAGTGGCAGAATATTACGGGTAAATATCGAGCTAAATGGCTATCTGTTGGAATTGGAGACACAGAGTGTTGTGGGCGTACGGCCATCTATTTTGTCTAGGTTCTGTTGGAAATATCGCGCAATGAAATAGGCGCAATATTTGTGGAACGAAAGAAGAAGTTGACTGAAAGAGGGTCATGTTCGGATTGCAGCTAAAAGTGTGGGAAGTGTGCGCTACAAGTACAAGTGTGGAGGGTAAGAGTCAACACCTGTACTCGGTGTCATACGAACCGGGGAGTGAAATATTCTTCCAGAGCCAAGTTCAGTTAATTTTCGCAATGCTGAACAAGTTGGCCCTCGAGGCAATGATTCAAAACACAACACCGCATCAATTTTTCACTCCCAAAGAGTATGACTCCTATTCAAGTCTCATCAAGTCTACAAGTACGAGCTAGTACATCCGCATTCCAATGACCACACCTCTTGTCGACTTTCTCTGGCCTCAGCTGGTCGCAAAACACACGCTCACGCCGATATTTTCATCAGACGGAGCAAGCAAAGCGCGGCACACAAATCTGGGAGACTGTTCTTGGAGATGGGCGTGGAATTTTGAAACATGGCAAGGATTTTTACGAATGCAACTTTGTGCGCGCCAAGACTTCGGTTGCGAGATTGCAGACGACACTATAAACATCGCCATGGTTGGATGGTGCGGTGGCACATCGTCTTGGCCGGTCTGCCAAGTAGAGTCTGGATAGCTTGGACACATATCCCACTCGAGATAGTAGATCGCTGGTTCAAATCCGGCAAAACACAACCACATTTCTCGCCGCGCTAGCATACATGGATGACGAAGGTATGCTTTGACAGCAAAAGGGTTTGAAATTCCCTCTAGCGGGTACTTACGGAGGAGGGTCGACTGTTTGTGTAAGCGAACATACCACATAGTGGTATTTGCAAATGAAATCCAGAGTATGAGTGTCTCCAATTTCAGAAGATTCATCCTACATTTATACATAGTACGGGTCATTTGTCATGACCTCATAGCTGCATACACATTAAATGATTTAAAACAAAGTACAAGTGTAAGCGACAAATAGCCTAAGCCACAGCATAAACAAGTGTGGCGCTTTTTTGGCAAATAAAACCTCCAACAACCTCCTTGTATGGATCCTGGATAGATCTACAGGGTACGAGTTAGGCGGATGTCGGAAATACGGCACGCACCTAATCGTAATTATCTTATGACCTCACGCACCGGAAACCGCCCGGTCATAGCAGTAGATCTGCTAGCGTTGAGGAGTAAGGAGGAATCAATGTATTTAGACACATAGACATCCTACACTTGAAGGATATAGAATTCACGTGTTAGTCTCAAGCTCTACACAAGATCCGTTTTTTTTGCTTTTTTTGCATCAGAGCAAGGTCCGCTGTAATTAGGAGCCACGAGACACCACGTGATAACCTTTCATTCTTACATCCACCACACCCTTTACTAAGTATATAAGGCGCTCTCGGGCGTCTTTTGCCTCAGTAGGGACTTAATAGGGTTACTCGCTTGACGCGTGATCCGCCAGACGTTAAATAAAGATAAATAAAAAAAATAAGGCGCTCTCGGATACCTCACTTGTGCCCACGCCATACAGCCGCTCATGTCTCCAATTGATAGCCTGAAGCGCTACCATATTACCCGTTCCAACCTCTTAAATGCACATAAGATCGTGTCGGAAACCTAGACAAAATGGAGGGCCCGTATGTCAACAACACTCTGTGTTTCCGTTTCGTCTAGGTTCCCGATATGATCTTGTGTGTATTTAAGAGGTTGGAACGGGTAATATGGTAGTACTATAGGCTATCTAATGCATACATGAGCGATTGTGTGGCGTGGGCGCAAGGTGTCTATTTGACGTCTTCTATGCCTAGATTGCGCCACACTCGTTTATGCTGTGGCTTAGGCTCTATGTGTCCCTTACACTTGAACTTATTGTTGAAAATTTTTGCGACAGTAGAATTAAGAGTAGACTTCTTACCAGCTACTAATTCAGCTGCGTGTGGACACTCGCTGTCGAAATCAGTTTCTTTACAATAAGATTGGATAAATAATTATTGGGTTAGAATTTGATTTCATTTAACCCGACCAGTCACCCTATGGGTCCATGCAGGTGACTATCTTCACTATTTACAAAGGTGGAAACCAATCTTGTGAAAACCCCCTGATCCTGTCTATTTGTATTCCTATCATTTTTTTTAGTTTACCTTCAGGAAGTGCAGTGTACACTGTTCAGTCGGTGTGGATTCCGTCCTCTTCCATTTGCCCACTGCGGATATGTCAATACCATGTGCTTGACGGTTTGTGACAGATATCCCCACTGACAGCTTGGCTTTTTGATAGGTAAAGTTATACTAATGTGAATTTCTCACAGAGTTGATTGAATTGATTCCCCATGGTGGAGGACAATCAATTCAATCAAATCTGTGAGAAATTCACATTAGTATAACTTTGCCTAACAGTTATCAGCACCATCTGCTTTACTTGACTTTATCTCTATCTTATATCATCCCATCTTATCTATATATCTCAGACATTACTTTCAGCTCAAGAATATTCAAAGCGCCAATATCAAGTATGTATCACAAAAATCAGGCAGGCGAACAAGGCTCATCTAGGAAATTATATTTGGTTAATCAAGCCATATGGTTACCTTGGATCAATATTATCAAGGCAAAAGCGACAAAAGGCTGCTCAGAGGATGTGTGGCAGTATATTGACCCAAGAAAAACCACTCAACCCAAACTGCCGGAGAATCCTGAATAACCTCATCCCAGAGACATCAAAAGCACAGCAGAAATAATCCTAGAACTCAATGCCGAAGAATTTTCAAAACTTCAGTATCTCCAGAAACTCCATGCCACTCGAGTAAACCTAAACAAAGAAATAATACGGTCCATACGAGAAATAGACAGCTATATCATGGGAAGTATCCACTTTGAGAATTACTTATGGACTCATGATATCACAACGACTTGGCCTCTCCTCAGAGCTCTCCAAGATTGACTAGCACCGACAGATCATTCGAGAAAGCTAGAGGTTATCACTTCATACAATGCTCTTCAAGCCTACGACAAAAACCAAAACATCGATCGATTCTTGTATGAATGGGAGCGGGTTTACGGTATTGCTATATCGATGAATCTTTCGGATGTCTTGGAAGAACATCCTTAATACGACTTTACCCTTGCGTTGGAAACTATTTATCAATCTTATGCTACTAACCTAGAGCTTAGAATAGAAGATAATGTAAGGCAGCGATCATTAGATCAGTCAGTCAATCTTATTCAACTTGAAGATGTAATAGAGGAGTTCCGAAACTACTACAATAGACATCAAACATCTCGCCAAAATACAATTCCAGCCTCTTTTGCCACTTCACACAACGGTCTGAGACCAGGCTAAAAACAATGACTTTGTGGCAACATTCACCTTTTTAAGGAATGTTACTATCTGAATCCCGAACTGAGGCCTTTGGGATGGATAGGAAGAGACTCTACTTACCATCAGATTAATAACGCATTGGCTGATCCGCGGAGAATCAAACTCAAAACGTCAATAGAAAAAATATCAAAATTTGACGGCAGCTCAAAGGGAACAGGAATTGCCATTAAAAACATCGCACCCATGAATGAGTATTTAGGGAATACCATTATAAAAGATGATGATACGCAAGAGCTACAAAATTCATATAATTTTAACTCCTTAAACTTTGCAAAATTAGCAATCATAGATTCACAAGATATATTAAAAAACTCTTGGATTCTAGACGGATGTTACGACATACATATGTCTAATAATGCGATTAAATATCATTTTCAAGAAACGAAGAAAGCAAAAAGTGGAAAGGTAATTCATGTAGGAAATACAACAATTCCAATTGAGTCTTACGGAACAGTCGGGGTTAAAGTAGACACGCCCAACGGAAAACCACACATTACCTTATATAACGTTGATTTAGCCCAAGAGTTTCTGACTAATATAGTTTCAACGCAGCTACTCAATAATTCCGGGTTCTATTGGAACAGTCGTAATCCTACTAGATTAGAGTGTGAAGACTACTCAATTACCTGCGATCTCTATCAAGAAGGCGGGCATATTTTATTCAACAATCCACACACTCAAACAAGTCAAAATATTGCAGTGATAGTCCGGCTAACGCATGATCCAAAAATGCGTACAATAACAAATGCAAGTCCATACAGGATGGTATCACGTGCTAACGCAAAAACAATATATCAGATAAACAATCATTGGGACTTTGATCTAGGGCCCGTCGTGTTGGAGCCAGCAGAGAACTTAATCAAACTAATTGAGTTGCCAAAATTGGAAGGTGACACCCTAGAAATAGAAGCAGAAGGTCATAATATCATTGAAGAAATACCACTCACCCTGAGAAATCTGCAAAATCAAAATCACCGGAAATTGAGTTAAATACCAGTTTAAAGCTTATTCCAGTAGCAAACTCCAAAGATAATATTGTATCAACTAAAAAATCAAGAAATATTAGCAGTGATATAATTCATGATTTATCTGCAACAGGAGATAAAATGGCGGAGCCGGACAAAATACATCGAAACGAGCTACCACCACTTCACAAAAATCAATATTCAGCCGTGTATGAGGTGGAGGAGTTAAAAGAATCCAGTAACCTCTTTGGAAAAGAATCTTGTACACAAATTAGCAAAATTAAAATGTACACAATAAATGCACGTCGGAGCTTAGAGCCAGATAAAAAGCTCTGACCATTAATAATGCTTGAGAGCTACAAAAGGAGGGTAATATCCATCAATCAACTTTGAGCTATCAGTTTCGTGACTTTGCCATCAAAACTGAGGGGATGTATCAAACAGATTACCCTAAACTTCAATATTGTATCACGATGTTTAAGTTGAGTAGTTTACAAGCAAGTACACGGGGCTGATGCATCAAGGGCAATAACTTAGTCATGCAAATGTTACAACTAGCGACTAGACGGATGGCCAATTTCCTACGCACAACTCCCTTATCGTTTCATTCCTTCTACTGCCCATGATAATGTAACAGCCAAACTTAGAACCATGTATGGAATGGAGATTTGAGCAGCTCACATGGGCAACCTAGTAGTTAGTCTATATTTGAAATTGGTAGGATACTCAAGTTATATATAGTACCTGGATAGATTCCTCATGGTGGAGGAAAATCAATTCAATAAACTCTGAGAGAGATTCACATTTGTATAACTTTGCCTAACAACAGGTAAGAATTGAGCCCGATATGCTCGCTTCTTAGCTGAATGGCGACACTGCTTTGGGCCCTGTTTAGGTCACGGTGAATGTTTAAGGATGTCTGAAATTCATTTTGGTACTGCCTGTTTTTTTATTAAACCTAATTGGTCCTAAGCTATAGCTGTATGTCCGCTATGGGTGCAGGACCGGTGGAACCAGTAGTGTTTCCTGTAATTTTTCCTACAGCCTAACTCGTTCAAACTTCGTGAATCGCTGCCAAAGCGCAGCTGATTAAACAGAAACGAAAAATAAAATACGCCGAAAATCAAAACAACGCCGAAAGACAGAAGACTCCTCCATATTGGACCCAAGCAATGCGCCCCTCACATATCCCCTCGTCCATCACAACGTTTCTCGATCCCCGCTGAGAGTAGTGGATGAGTGAGCAGGTCGTCTACTAGGACAGCCGTTTTCCTGCTCAAATTTTTTGAAGCTTTCGTAGCATTTGGACTCGAGAAGCTTTTTGACAAAGTCAATGTGGAAAATTGACTTCCTGAGCTTACGCATGTTTTGTATGTATATATGTATTAATTTCGTATCAGGAAAAAGTGTTGGAATTTCGCACCAGTTGCTTACTCTAGAGCTACACAATTGTCGGTGATGATCGACAAGGCTGCTTAGGAATAACTTTGCGTACAATTACACTAGACTAAAATTGGCTTTAGCGTCAGACAAAGAACACGAGTTATATGTAGAAACCAAGATGTACTTTCTTTAACATTCTGACGAATAATATAATGTAATAAGAACGATCTACGTGAATAATTTATTTGATTGAACTACTACGAAGTACTTTGAAGCTGTGCCTATATTGTTTGAGTTAGTTTCCTCTTAGAACCTATACACACTTTCCAACAAAAAGCCCTACACCCAAGAGGCATGATACGGGTATGTGATATCTATAGATTTACTACTACCTATGTAACCAGCTTTCTAGGCTGAGTAATTATATGAAAGAATAGGTAAAGAAAATTTCCGAGACAAAAACCGCCCTGCGCCTTGCCCACTTTCAAATCAAATTGCTAAAAGGTTCTAACCTCTCGAGATATATTGACCCTCTCGTTGTAAAAATTGCCTTCCGTAGCATCTCGTTACGATTATGTACTCAAAGAATTCCTCCCATCCATTTTCTGCCAACATAGCCCGTCCTCTTGGTGGTGGTTCATGTCTGGATATTCTTCACTGTCGTAGAGCTGTTCGGCACTCTGCAAAGTCCCAAGGACGTCTCTCGCTGAAGGTAACTCTAGTGTTGCTAGTGATACCAATAAAGCCAATTATGGGATTCCTGGTTTTCAAGTAGGTTAACGACTTGAAGCTACAGGGCAGTAATACTTCACGATTTTGCTCTCACCATGAAATAAATAGCAGCAAATATTGAATGATTGTTGAAAAGCCCAAACATTCTAAGAGAATATGGCTTTAATTAGTCTCAGTCATTTTATGTGCCAATTGCCTAACTATCGTGGCATCAAGTCCCACAGCTAGTCAGATAACCAGTTGATTTGAAAGGAAACACATCACTCGGTGCGTCATGTTTTCAGATCAAAGGATATGTGAGATTCAGGTAAGCGCTCCTCAACTAGCTTTTAGTAATGCTATCTATCCTGTTCCAACCGTTCAAGCTTAACCTCGCAGCTCATTTATTACACTATCATGAGAAGCTGAAGAAGTCTTTTTTACATTAAGACTTAATATTTGGCATTTATATTTTACTCGCATTTGATTGATAATGCAAAAATCTAGCTCTGATAGTTCAATCATTGAAGAACTCAGTAGATCAGGCTGGAACCACAGACATGACGATCCTTTTCTTGAGTCTTTTTGTAGATCAGAGGAAGAAGTGAATAATTCATTGGATCATTCACAGCAATCACGAACTGATGTGCACGACGAGACAAAGACAACGAACCGGCCATACATGCAGCCACCGTTGGTACTGGGGGTTTTTAAAAATGAAGCGCGACGCGAGACAAGAGAAGATCGATGCAATTGTGAGAGATCATGCTCAAAAAAAAGAAAATTTCAGCAACGGCCTAAAGAATCACACAAAACGAAAAGAACTCATCTTATTCGCGATAATAGAGATAGCGGAGATCTTATGCGGAATTTTAGCTCCGTGCACATCGGTAACTCACGCTTGACGACAGTAAGGGCATACAAAATTTTGCGCTGCTTCAAGCTAAGTGGATATAGATGCAAGGGTCCAATGGTCTAGGAATATTTAAAAATGGTCGAGCATCATCTTCTACACGACGGCGAGGCAGTATGTAACAATATCTTCATGCTTGATACTAATGTATTTTAGTACCAGATCTTGCATTTTCCAAAATGAAATTTCTACAGAACTCGAATACCTCTCAAATAAAAGCTAATAGTCAGACGTGCCAGGATTTGATAAGAGAGGAAATAAATCAGAGTTCTATGGATGATTGTCAAGAAAAGTCATCTTATTTCAATCGTGTTCCACATCTATCACGGAAAGTTGACCAGTGGATACAGTCCTCTAATATTGAACAGACGCACAATGGAAAAAGGTTGGCCGTAAAACAAAATGATAATTCTCACAGACTGGGAACCGATAACTATCGGCCGAACAAACAGAATATAGACTTGGCAGGTCAGGATAGTTGTCATGCTTCGACGAAATACTTGGCTCTGTTTCTGGCCCTAACATATTCTAGATAAACCTCACGAATTTCCAGAAAATTTGTCGAAACCCCCACCTGGTAGTGTACTACAGCCTAAGTTTCAAACAAATCGGCACAGTAGTCCTGATTCTATTTTTAGCAAGGAATCTCTACGAGATAACCGAGAAATGAGGTTTCTAAAGCCCACATCTAAGTCTACCGAATCCGGTATGAATCCTTCACAGGACAGTAAAAGTACTTCAACTTTTGAAAGCTGCCAAAAAAAAGGGGAGATATTTGACCAAAAAATGATAGATAAACTTTCTCAAACGGGACTTGTGGATAAGAATACAGTGAGATCTATGAGAAGTGATCATGATATTAGAATTAAACCCAAAATCAGTAGCAATCCCAAACTTTGCAGGGAAGGCAATGAAAATAATATGTCCGATAATACGAACGACGCAGAGGGTACCATTGTAGAAGATGGAAGAAAATCAAGTCAGCATAATCATACCGAACTAAGGAAAGATTCTGTGATTATGAATGATACCAAGACACCAAAAGTGCCTCTTAAATCGGTAGCATTATCAAGTACTTGTAGAAAAGTTAAAAAACCATCTCGAATAGAGCGTTCTGCTACAACTATTCCAATCTTAGATTCATATCATGTCCATGGTGCGCTGGAAGGGAAAACTTGGAGTGACCTCAAGGACAGTAATACAAAAAAACATAGTCTCTACGCTCATAAATTAATTGAACAATGTCCGATAGAGACGAGTTATATAAAACCAACAAAAGACTACACTAAGAGATTCATAGAATTATCTACTCCTAAAAAGACCGTTCATATTGATTTATCAGCTGACTTATCTCGAATGAACTATGATGAAAATCGGAATTTTTACACTTCTCTTTCAAGAGATACAAGATCAGGGGGAAGTCTTGAGAACCGAAAACCTACGCAAGCCTTGATTTTGGATGCTGATTTGGAATACTCTGAAAACGTACTTCCCAGCCCTTTTGAAGATTATTTGCCTGAAGCATTAAAAATTAACTTAAATAATTATACCTCGTACAATACGTGTAAAAGCGAATCTCGCCAGTCTACAGGACTTGACATGAGAAGTAATTATTTGGAAAATAATGAGCCTTGCTTTATATCCCAGGTTCAGTATCATCACGGGGAAAATTCTGATTTTCTCCCTCAAAACACTTGTTCATCGAATGAGGACATGCGTTTGTATGATAACATATGGTTGAGTCAGGCTCCAGATAAATTGACTAATCAAGGCGAAGATATTCAAGTTAATAATACAGGAAAAATACAGCATTTATCTGATTGTTTTATTCAGGGAATTGAGCGCGATGATTCTACTATGTTGTGCGGGCCAGAAATAGCCGAGTCTGAAGAATTTGATAGTAGAACTACAAATATGGTAGATACAAATAACGTCAATCTACAAGGATCACCATGCAATTTTATCTTCCGGAAGAGTTCTATAAGCCCAGCTAACCACAATGCTGCTGAAAAATCTCCACAATATTTTGGTCAAAATCTTTTGCCAATTTTTGACTGTGATCCAGATGAAACGGTAATGGTCGATTTTTGGAAAATCAATCGACCAAGTTATAGTAAAGATTGTTAGTAGCGCCAACGAAATTTTTATTAGCAGCATCACTTAATATCCGTTGCTTGATAGTACTAAGATGATACATTCGTTACTTCTAGATCGCACGAAGAGTAAATATATTTATTTCTGTATTATTTATGCGAAAGTCAATTCCTTACATTGAATTTTGTGACTACCTTATATACTAGCTAGGAAATAGCAAATTGTTTAATGATTTTTTTTCTTACATGCCATTTACTAATTCTTCAGAAATCTATCGCTTTAAACAATTAATCGGATTCTTAAGCTTGTCTTGTCAATGTCCCTAAGCATAGCTACTTAATTGCAAATAGAATCTTATTGTTACGGGCTGTGCCCGGATTGGGACTGGTCACTAGGACCAACCCGGCTAGATCTTTAAGCGCCAAGGAAGCAGCGCTTACAGAGACGCGAAAGGTTGCATGGGGAAGAATGCAAGGATACGTACAAAGAGGGATCTAAGTGTCGCATAAGGATTAATGCAAGGTTGCGCACAAGAACGAGTCTCAGTGTTGCATAAGGATAATTGCAAGGTTGCGCATGAGGAAGGACCCAAGGGAGTACGTACTAAGGGGGGGAGGATGTCACAGGAAAGAGGGTAGCCGGGGAGAATGGAGTATTCTCAGGTAGGCTAGGAGGGGAGCTTAAACGCGACGCTGAGGAGGACATAAAGGACAGGAGCCGTCGCAGGCAGATTAGCTTCCCAAGGAAAAATTATCAATTCCTATTGAGTTAACGTCTTTCAAGTACTTCTGAATTCTTTAAACCCTTTACACTTATTTCGATATATTTAATCTTTATCCAATCTTTCTGTTTATGGTGAACATTACTCTTAGTATAAATTCTGGAAAATTATCATCATCTGATGAAGAGCCAGACATTCATTACTTTAAGCAATTTTGGACTGGCTATTATAGAGTTCATGAAATTTGTTCCGAAATTGAAATCAATCAAAGATTTGTAACATTGCTGAGGCATCAGAAAGATCCTACCAGAGGAGCAAAACAACTAGTGAAAAATGCCTTGCTACTTTAATACTTTTTTTTAAAAAAAATTGCTCAACTTCATGCCGGCGCAGTACACTATACTACAGAGTCAAGTGCCGGTTTGCTCAGTCTGTTCAGACTACCTGACGAGCCAACGCCCCCATAAAGTCCAGCTAATCAAAAATTGAGGCACAGCAATTTCACAGCACCTCGTAAAGTTATGATGAACTTGAAGGAATGACCACCCCTATCATTCTTCTAGGTGGTTTCTCTCCAATGTTGAGTCCTCCATTCCAATTAACTCTAAGATTTCACTGCCCAGAATCTCTCCCATGTTCCCTCTCAGGCTTTGATTTCTTTGTCAGAAATTCACCCAGCAAACCAAGATTGGCATCCTCAAATGATTCTTGATCGACAATAGTGTTGGAAGGTCTTGATAGTTTTCTTTGTGATTTATGTAGTCGAGAAATTTCTGGAATCCGAGAGTTTCGACCCAAATCAGACTGGAATTAAAACTTCCGACGAGACTCTCGGTCTAGTTAAATATCGATTTGATCGTCGGGGGATGGCCGAATCCTGGCATAGGGGAATATTTCACTCCGCGGTTCGTAGAGGACACCGCGTTCAGGCGTTCAGTCTTGCCCTTCTATACTTCTAATTAAAGCGCATACCTCACACTCTTTTAGTAGCAATTTGAACTCGACACTCTTTTCATCAACTTCTTCTTTCGTTCCAGGAGCATTGCGACCATTTCATAACGCCATATGTTCAATCATTTGAACCAGCGATCTCCTGTCTCAAGTGGCATGTGTCCAGACGATCCAGATTCTGTTTAGGAGAGCAGTCAAGATGATGTCTCACTACATGATCTCTTTGGGTGTATCGATTAAGTCGTAAAAATGTTGCACTAGCTGTATTCCTTTATCCATTCATTTGGAATCATGATTTTTGGACTTCATGCACATTTCGAGGTCAACTCCGAGCCATTGTATCTTGTCTAGTGCTTGTCTTTTGGGGGGGGTGTCACGCTTATTGGTCCAAATAAATGGCCTCCATTTTAGAACATTCCTCTTGATACCCAGTAATTCCCCTTCCAGAATTGTATTTTTTCTCAGCATAATCCGCTCAATCAAGCTCATTTCCCGTAGCGCCGTGCATTCACTACGAAGGTCTAGATCCCAGATCAGGTGCATCTGTCGAAATGTACGTAGTAGCGTTGCAAAGTCTAATTTTCCCAAACTTAATATAGACGTCTTAAAGAACTTAGGTCGGAATGCAAAGAAGGCAAAGTGACATCAAGGTAATCATTGAGAACATTTTGTGGGCGCACTATTCTATAAAATAGGTGTTATATTAACTAGGCTATATGGGAGCAGGACGATGGATACTCTTGGGAAGTTATGCTCACAGTAGGTCTCTATAATTGCTGTCGCGTGTGTTCTCGTGATATGCAATACTTGACTCTATATTCTCGTGTAAAGGGGGCTCAATTACGTTGAATAGATGGAGGTTGAGACCTCCCTATATCTTGCTCCAGACTTACTGTGTTGTTCACAGCCTAGTGCTATAACATTCCCTTATGATATCATTTCTCTCCTACGAGAAATGACCAGCCCGTTCTCTCTCAGTCTATCAGTCTCTCGCTGATTCCATTATCTCTATTCCATCTAGTTCTAGTTTGGTCCGGTATACCCACACATGCATCACACAATTTTTTTTGAAATCGATGAAAAATTCACCTACCCATCCCCTCAACCCTTCAATTCATAGTTTCACAAGCTAATTTCATCATTATCATAGTCGCAAGACCCTGAGTCTCCGAAATGGCGACGGGTCCTACGAAAATCACTCGCCCCGCGCGCCAGCACAAAGCCATGGCGAAAATTAAAATCAGGTTGCAACACCGCCTAGATGCAAGAAATCTATCGATCGATACGATAGATCAAGACAAGATGGAGTCAGAGATGACCGAAAGATTGAGAGTCTTCCAGGAAGACTCAGACTCAACAAACCCAGACGTGGAAATGGGCGATATGGTCATCGACCAATACATAATCGAGGGTCTCGACAAATCCAGATGGAATGTCGCTCAGAAAAATGATGATGTGGTCCCTGTGACCTCCGTCATTTCAACATCAAAGAAGATTGCTGCTCCTGCTGTCAAGAAGGCAGCAATTCCAGAGGTGAATAAGGCTAATCAAGCCACACCTGCTCAGATCGCCAGCAAACCCTCATCAGTGGCGACTGAAAAACAACAACTTTCCTGCAGCGAAAGCAGGAAACAAAAAATCAATGGCTGCCCCCCGGAACTACAAGCCATGATTGAAGCTGAAGAGCGCAGGGCAGCTCAAGCAGCAAAAAATATAATGATCTGCACTGCTGCGATCAATGCTGTCGAGACTGCGGTCTCCCTATACTCAGAAGAGTCGAGCGATCCGTTCATCGACTCGATGAAAATATATCTTCGAGCAGCCATTGCTCAATTCATGAAGTCGGGACCCAGTGCGGCCCCCCCAATCCTTCCACAGCGCCCAAGCTGCCAGGAAAACATGAGTTGTCCTATAACCAAGGCCAAAGAAAGAACTCCGATGAACAGTCAGGAGCTACAACGCCAAGTCACCCAGGCCAAATCGACCTGGGCAACAGTCGCCCGGGGCTCTCCCCAAAAGTCAATCGCTCCAGCGAAGGCTGTTCGAGTCGCCCCAAACCCAGCAGTACAGGTCAAGAAACAAGCTAGACCTGTGACTGCAAAGCCAAAGGATGTTCGTCTGTTTCTTCGCCTCGGAGAGGAGCATGCATGGCGCGCTCTTTCGCCAGCTGGCGTGAGAGATGCCGTGACTAAATTGGTGGAGGTTCCATCCTCCAATATTAAACATGTGTATCGTGTTCCCACCGGCTTCGCTATGAAAGCCAAAAATGAAGAAGCACGCCAGCTCCTCTTCAACGCTGCAGAATCATTCAGCAGGGTTGAGGCTAAGTTGGAGACAGCCTCGGATCTGGCTGCCCTTCGAATCGCAACGGTTCCAGTGGCCCTATACACACTTATGGGCAAGGTTACGGTCACTGAGGAGATGGTGGCAGAAGAAATAACTCGAACCACCAAGGCGGTTCCGGTACGTGTCCGTCCACTCGGAAAGGGGCGAGTAGGAGCTCCTTACCAAACTTGGATAGCTCACTTCGAGAGAGCGTCTGCCCCTCGGCCGGGCTTCCGACTTTTTGACGACTCTGGAATTGCAGTTCGTCACCAGCCTAAACAGGCAATAAGCCAGTGCAAACGATGCCTGCAATTCCACGGCACTCGAGGCTGCTCACGTGCCCCAGCTTGCTGGAACTGCACGTCAACGATGGATTCCTCCGCAGAGTGTAAGGCACATACAAAGTGCCGCAACTCTGGGGGCCCCCACCGATCGGACAGTCGTGACTGTCTAGCTCGTCCTACAAAGTCTGGACCAGCATCCAAAGAGAACCTCGAGGCAATCAGGCAGGCGAGTCAACGGGAATTTGCTGCAGTTGTACGAGCAAAATCAGCTGTCAGACGCGCTGAAGCCGCAGTTTCAGCAGCCTCTGAAAAGGCAAAAATAGCTCAGACGAGCTTCAAGTCCAGCAACTGCTTCGAAGTGCTGATGACCGATTCATCGCCTTCTGTAACCAAGGTTACAGAGGACGTGAATCGTGAAGAAAGCTTATAAAGGGCGCCCCACGGGCCCCTTTTCGCCTCCCTCCTACCTTAAATTTCATGTCGATAAATGTAGGAAGGGGAGGCCCCACACAGGACATCGCGCTCGCCCGAGCTTTTGAGCTGGGAGTCGATGTATTGCTTGTTCAGGAACCTCTGTGGAAAAAAACAGAGCAAGTCAACAAAGACTCATCCGGGATATGATTGTCATACTCCCCATGGTGAGGATCAGTCAAGGCCGAGGGCGGTGAGCTACACTCGGAAAAACGACAGTGAAATTAAGGCAACGCAGATCTTTCCCTGTGCCATGCCTACGGCGGACTATTGCTGGGTCG